GTTCAAATACGATGGCAATACATTATCTACACGTGAACTTTATTTTCTTGCTTTTCTTTTGCTTTTTCATCACTTCACATGTACATCCAGGAAAAGCAGTGCATGCACTACTTCTTCCAACGAGGATGACACGTACATTTGGTCCAAACGGGATTTGCCCGATGAACCTGTGTGCATCCGCCCTTGTCTCCGCCTTTATGTTAGTCAGCAAAGCATCAAATAACCGTAGGATTTATTGCGTACATCACTGGCACTTGCAAAAAACGTCTTTTAACTTTAAAACAAAAGGACGAGAGAGCACCTCAGAACACCTTCGCACCTGTGATTTCGTGAACTTCGCAACGGACAATTTATAACTCGCTTCAAAAAATAAATATAATACAATGGTCATCGCTCACTGGCGAATTCACTTTTCGTGCAATAAACAGCATCATTCAGAGCTAATGGGCATCCTGTACATAAGACAGAACAAATAAAATATTCCCCCTCCCTCCTCCCCTCCCCCAAAATTTCAGCATGATCATCTTAAGAATATGATGCATTTCTGACACCAGTGCCTCTTCCGCGCTGCACTCGATATTTTTTTTTTTTTTTTTCACTGCCATTACACAGTGTTAAGTTGCTTCACTTCGAAAGAACGAATGACAAATGGCTAATTTTCAAAGACAGTACAGGTACAAAACTCATTTTTCAACAGGGCAGTCAGTTTCCAGCTAACGCAAGAAAACAGCTTTCATGTCAATTCAATCAAATTAGCAATCTTCGCCGGCAATATAAAGATGATGCATAAAGCGCATAGCCTGGCTGAAGGCGATGAACAAATATTTGTTGGGAAGTTAACGCAAAAATGCACTTCACAAGAAAAGGAAAACTTGCAAACATGCACAATCGAAGCAGGTACTGCAGACACATTAAGACTAAACTATTTTGTACTACCCGATGGTAATGGATTTTAAATATGTCACAAGAAGGATAGTTTCAGAAGTTGGTGCTGCAGTTGACTGCTAATTTATGGTTTACGTCAGAGTCTGGACAATTCAGAAATGATCTCACAGTACAGCTATTTCGTAAATTCCTGCACCGGTTTTTAGAATATACAAGAAATCACAAAATGAATAACTGCAGCACAATTGCAGAATCAGTATCGCACTGTCTCAACGCCGTCTGCCGCCCTGCGTGCCCATCATTATCGTAGCAATTCGAATAAAGATGTTCAAAACGTCCATATATATCGACAACTGCCTATAACAAAAAAGCGAGCTCTTTCCTCACTTGCTTGTGACGAATAAGTTATTTCGCCAAGCTGCCTCAGTATGGTACTAGATGGCGCAAATACAGAGGGAGGGCGGTAGGTACCAGCTGTAGGCCCAGGATCGAAGGGCCTAGCATAGCTGAGCACAGCCTGGC